TACATGTATGATTTTTAGCTCACCTCGACGAAGTCGAGATGAGCTTATGCTATACCCCCGGCGTCGGTGTCGGCGTCGGCGTTAGCGTCGGCGTCCCAGGTTAAAGTTTTAGGAGCAAGTCCCATTCCCAAGTAACTATAAGCCCTACTTGGACCAAACTTGCATGGATGATGCATCTAGGGATGGACACTACCACACTTGCTTCGGATGCTGGATCTGACCTACATTTTCCAGATGAGTGACCAGGTTAAAGTTTTAGGAGCAGGTCCATTCCCAAGTAACTATAAGCCCTACCTTGACCAAACTTGCATGGATGATGCATCTAGGGATGGACACTACCACACTTGCTTCGGATGCTGGATCTGACCTAGATTTTCCGGATGAGTGACCAGGTTAAAGTTTTAGGAGCAGGTCCATTCCCAAGTAACTATAAGCCCTACCTTGACCAAACTTGCATGGATGATGCATCTAGGGATGAACATGGCCACACTTACTTCGGATGCTGGATCTGATGTAGATTTTCCAGATGTGTACCAGGTTAAAGTTTTAGGAGCAGGTCCATTCCCAAGTAACTATAAGCCCTACCTTGACCAAACTTGCATGGATGACGCATCTAGGGATGGACACTACCACACTTGCTTCAGATGCTGGATCTGACCTAGATTTTCCGGATGAGTGACCAGGTTAAAGTTTTAGGAGCAGGTCCATTCCCAAGTAACTATAAGCCCTACCTTGACCAAACTTGCATGGATGATGCATCTAGGGATGGACACTACCACACTTACTTCGGATGCTGGATCTGATGTAGATTTTCCAGATGTGTACCAGGTTAAAGTTTTAGGAGCAGGTACATTCCCAAGTAACTATAAGCCCTACCTTGACCAAACTTGCATGGATGATGCATCTAGGGATGGACACTACCACACTTGCTTCGGATGCTGGATCTGACCTAGATTTTCCGGATGAGTGACCAGGTTAAAGTTTTAGGAGCAGGTCCATTCCAAAGTAAATATAAGCCCTACCCGGACCAAACTTGCATGGATGATGCATCCAGGGATGGACACTACCACACTTGCTTCGGATGCTGGATCTGACCTAGATTTTCCACATGTGAGACCAGGTTTAGATTTAGGAGTAGTCTCGTTCCCAAGTAACTATAAGCCTTACCTGGACCAAACTTTCATGGATGATGCATCTAGGGATGTACACTAACCAACCTGCTTCGAATGCTGGATCTGACCTAGATTTTCCACATGAGTGAATTTTAGCCATATTTTAACCAAATCAGCATGGATGATGTATCTAGGGATGGATACTTCCAGACTTGCCTTGGATTCTGAATCTGACGTACATTTTCCAGATGAGTGACCAGGGTAATTTTTTGGAATAGCTATATAATATTAAGGCCTGTTATGATTAAACTTGCATAGATGGTGCATCTAAGGATGAAAACTTCCAGACTTGCTTTGGATGTTGGAACTGACCAAAATTTTCTTGATTACTAAACAGGTCAAAAGTTTTTTGAGCAGATCTATAATTAAATCAAACTTGCATGGATATTGATCTTGGGATGTACCCTAACTAGAAAAAAAATATGATGTGAAATTTGCCTTACATGTAGATAACATTCGTCGAGGTGAGCTTCGTAATCTTTGATTACCTATGTTTATATTTTACAGTTAATTACTTAGCTGCTAATCCGCCAGTACAGATTATTTAATTATTGAAGAGGTGATCATATCACTCATTTCTGTTATTTCCGGCGGGTGAGACCGGTCGGCAGGGGATGCTCACTCCTCCATGGCACCTGATCCCACCTCTGATGTTTTGGAGGTTCGTGTTTGCTTTGCTCCAATTTTGTATTATTTTATGGACTTTTGAGCTTAAATACTGTTCGTTATTTCTATATATTTCAAATTCTTGTTGCGTTTATATGACACAATAGGCAATTCAGAAGAAATCGCACTGCAGTCTTTATCTTTACTAAAAATGTGCCAGTATTTTATTTATTTCCGTTCTATTTCCCGGAGTCCAGGATTGTGTTTGGTTACAAAAACAAGGGAGATCTCTTGTTCTTTAGAATTTGAGAGCTTTGTCCCTATTATAATTATCAAGGACGTTTTGTATATTTTGATTGATTTCATTTTCACTATATGTTGGTACAATGTAACAGACTTTGTTGGTCCAACGTTGGCGCATTGTCTAAGTGCACTGTGGCCCTTTGATGACCCAACATGTTGAGGGGATGTTGGGTCAACGCTTTAATGTACTATAGTATTTATGTAATTGTTCTGTCTATTTTTAAAAATATTTTCATGTCTTTAGAATTTACGTTGTACTATTACGTCAGTTAGACTGAGTGCAATACGAATTTTTATTGAATGTGCTTAAGTACGAGTTAATTTTCAGTGTTTGTGCCGCCATACTGTCACGGCGAGTTTTTACTCCCGGTTGAATGTTCGTAATCCACGGTGTAAGTAGTTTAAAGTTTTAACACATTGTTTATTCTTCAGATTATGTTATCGCTTACCTATATCTCTAATGCCAGCTATGCTAATTATTGCAGTTCTGCATAATTTAAGATAATGTTTGTGCCATGTGCTTAAAGTATGGCGTGCTATTCATGTCATCATTTATAGTCGATAGTAATTAAGTCTGTATTTCTCTTAAAAATATATTTTATGAATGGAATTTGATACAGTTGATAAGAGTATAGTTAGTTTATGATTTACTAGAGATATTACTTGTCTGTGTAATTTGTTCACATTATGTGAATCCAGTTTTGAGAAATTTTTCTATGGAAAGCAGTACCTGTCATTACTTACTTTGGTTTTGTTTTATTGTAGCTTTTTACCAGACGCACGTTCACATGCGCACTTGCACATGCAAGTGAGGGTTAACTATCTGTCAAATAAAACTTTCTAAAGGAACTGAGAGACTTTTTTTGTGGCAGAATAGTAAAAAGACCATGTCTACTACAGCAGTACAGGCCGGTACAACAAGTCCAGACTCCACTCAACAATCCAAAACAGCATTCATTCCAGACTTCTCTATGGACTCTCAGCAGGTTAAGTCGTCATCTGTCCCAGATTCGACTTTAGACATTCAGCACGCCAAAACTTTGTCAATACCATATTCTGTTACAGACACAAGAAACACTGAAAAGAAATCTACATCCAGCAACAGTGAAAAGGGGGATGATTTTCTAGATTATCGAAGATATGAAGAGGAGAACACATAAAGTGAGCATCTAAGTGTACATTCTTCATCCAGTGTTTTAACTTCAGACATTCTTACTAAGAAGAGGGCTGAAGTAGGTAAAGCGAAAGCCAGGATGTTGTATGCAGCTAAAGAAATGACATAACGCAAACAGCAAATGGAACTTGAAGCAGAACTAGAAATGATAAATCTCAAAAGGGAAGCAGCAGAGGCAGAAGCAGAGTGTCAGGCATTTGAATCAACAATTAAACATATCTCACAGGTCTCCAGTCGACCAATTTCACCGGATGGACTCAACTACCAAAAACTGAAACACTACTCAAGTACAAGCCAAAATATTTATTCTGGTCAACTTACACTTGGACATGTCCCTTCAGGACCTACGTTGGACCACATTCCTTCTACACTGAATCCATATACACAGTCATACATACCATGTACCAATTAATCGAGATGAAATACCTACACCTGAAGTCACACTCCATCATGAACATCTCACAGAAATTGCTGGGCACCTTCAACCACTTGATGAAGAATGTCACATTCTTTTGCTGATAGGACGCGATTTAATAGAAGCCCATCATGTTCTACATCAGATCTTCGGTCCAACGAAAGCTCCTTATGCACAACAACTCAAACTTGGCTGGGTTGTCATCGGAGAAACTTGTCTCAACATGCAACATGCCTCACGTGATCTAAGTGTTGAGAAAACTTACATTCTACCAACTGGTCAGCCTTCAACTATGAAGCCATGCAGCAACAAGTTTGAGGTACGAGAACTTGTAGGTCAGTCTTTGTCTGATGAGTCGCAGCTATTTATCAGGACGAAGGACGACGATGAACAAGGCATGTCAATAGAGGATAAAATGTTCTTGCAGCAGATGGATAGTGAATTTATCAGAGACTCTTCAGGAAGTTGGGTGGCCCCACTGCCCTTTCGGGAGAATCGACAACGGTTACCGAACAATAAGGAGCAAGCCATTCAGCAAGCTAAACTTCTTGATATAAGCCTTAAGAAGAACCCTGTGAAAAAAGGACACTTTTTTACATTCATGGCTAAGATTCTGGACAATCGCCATGCAGAAGTTGCCCCAAAGTTGTCTGATGGAGATGAATGTTGGTTTCTGCCCCTATTTGGTGTTTACCATCCCAGAAAACCCAATCAAATCAGGGGCGTGTTCGATTCGTCGGCTAAATTTAAAGGAGTTTCCCTAAATGAAGTCCTTCTTTCAGGACCAGATTTATCAAACAGCCTGCTTGGCATTCTTCTAAGATTTCGCAAGGAGATGGTTGCTGTTACTGCCGATGTGCAACACATGTTTCACTGTTTCTTAGTAAGAGAGGATCATCGCAACTTCTTAAGATTTTTGTGGCACAAGGATAACGACCTTGACAAAGAAATCATTGAGTATAGGATGAGGGTCCATGTCTTTGGTAACCGGCCCTCTTCTGCTGTAGCAACACTCGGACTCAGAAAGGCAGCTGAAGCGGCAAAACCGAACTATGGAGATCACGTAACCAATTTCGTAAAAAATGAATTTTACGTTGATGATGGGTTGACTTCCTGTCCAACCACTGCAGAAGCTGTTCGCATTCTCAAGGATACTCAGAGCGCTTTGAAGGAATTTGGTAATCTCCGGCTTCATAAATTTGCCTCCAACAGCCCTGAAGTCATGTCAGCCTTTCCAGTTGAAGACCTAGCATCAAATCTGAAAGACTTAGATTTACAAAGGGAGGACATGCCTCTGCAGCGAAGCCTTGGTTAAGCTGGGATGTAAACAATGACACCTTTCTGTTCCAACTATCAAAAGACAATAAACCTGCCACACGAAGAGGTCTACTTTCAACCGTCAATGGGATTTATGACCCCATTAGCACCAGTGACCATCTGTGGTAAACTCCTACTCAGGCAACTTATAGCACAGACTCGAGACTGGGACGAGCCCCTCTCTGAGGAACTAACATCTCTATGGAATTCTTGGAAGGATACCTTAGACGCACTTGAAGCCCTGCGTATTCCACGGACATATGTGACAAATCTCAGCAAAGCAGTGACGAAAGAACTTCATGTGTACAGTGACGCATCTGAAAAGGCCATAGCGGCTGTCATTTATTTGCGCACGACCGATAGTGACGGACAGTGCAAAGTTGGATTCGTGTTGGGTAAGGTTAAAGTTGCACCCATGAGTGGACACACTATCCCACGATTGGAATTGTGTGCATCTGTGTTGGCAGTGGAGATTGCACAGTGTGTTCTGAATCACCTTGGCATACAAATAGACTCTATGAAGTATTACACTGACAGCAAAGTAGTCCTCGGCTACATCTGTAATGAGTCTAGGAGATTCTATATCTATGTTGCCAACAGAGTAGACCGCATAAGGAAGTTTACAACTCCAAGCCAGTGGAATTACGTGTCTACTGATCATAACCCTGCAGATTTAGCAACGAGATGTCTACCTGCACATGAGCTTCAAGACAGCACTTGGTTACAAGGACCAAAACAACTTCTTGTTTTTAAACAGGAGGAACAAAATGAGAATGAACATTCACTCATTAAGCCAGATGAAGATAAAGAGATTCGCCCTATTGTTTCAGCAATGAAAATCTGCACTGCAGACGAAGATGGTGGACAACCTTACACTCCAATGACTCAACGATTCCAGCGATTTTCTGACTGGAGGAAACTTGTGTTGGCCATGAACTTTCTCAGATACATGCTTTTCAAGTTTCAAGGCAAAGACGTTGATTCTAACACAGTAACTGAAAGATACCAAGACACAGAGCACTTTGTGATCCGAATGGTGCAGTCTGAGGTGTACTGTGACGAGATTGACTGTATAGGACGAGACGAGCTTCTACCTCGACGAAGCCCAATAGCCAACCTTAATCCATTTTTAGATGATCAGGGACTTCTCCATGTAGGAAATCGGATAGTCAACTCAAAATTGACTTTGCGAGAGAAGAAACCCTTGATTATACCTGGACGCCATCACATAGCAACCTTACTGGTTCGACACTATCATGAGAATATCAAGCAGCACCAAGGGCGTCACTTCACCGAAGGAGCTATTAGGGCTGCTGGACTTTGGATAACAGGGGCCAAACGACTTGTCTCATCGATTATTCATAAATGTATCACGTGCAGAAAACTCAGAGGGAAGACGCAGTATCAGATCATGGCTGATCTACCTGCAGACCGCCTTGACCCATCGCCACCTTTCACAAACGTAGCTGTAGATGCATTCGGACCTTGGGCTGTAGTTTCACGTAAGACTCGAGGAGGTAGTGCCAACTCCAAGCGCTGGGGAATATTGTTCACATGCTTAACTACAAGGGCGGTTCATATTGAACTAGTTGAGGAAATGAGTTCATCTGCATTTATCAATGCTGTCAGAAGATTCACCGCCATAAGGGGTCAGGTAAAGACTTTCCGTTCTGACCAAGGCACTAACTTTGTTGGGGCCGTAGATGACTTGCGCATTGATGCCATATACGTCAACGATGCACCCTTGAAGAAGTATCTACACAATTCTGGTACTGTATGGATCTTCAATCCACCCCATGCATCCCACATAGGTGGGGCATGGGAAAGAATGATCGGTATTACCCGGAAGATCCTCAATTCAATGCTGACTGATGCCAGTGGAAAGACCTTAACGCATGATGAGCTGAACACATTTATGGCGGAGGTCTGTGCAATCATTAATTCAAGACCTCTTGTTCCGATATCCACTGACCCAGATTCCCCATGATTCTCACCCCAGCAATGCTATTGACACAGAAGAACGAGTATGAGTTCAAGGCCAATTCAATAGGAGAATTTGGTGGTCGAGACATGTTGAAGGCTGAATGGAGACGTGTTCAAGCTTTAGCTAGTGTGTTCTGGTCTCGATGGAAGAAGGAGTATCTTCCGCTACTTCAGAGTCGTAGGAAGTGGACCAAGAATCAACGTGACATAGCCGAAGGAGATGTAGTTCTTATAAAAGACAAGACTGTTGAACAGAACTGCTGGCCTATTGGCTTAGTTGTGAAAGCCTTCAAGAGTTCTGATGATCATGTGCGAAAAGCTGAAATTCGTACCATTGTGAATGGAAAGCCTACAGTGTATATCAGACCAGTCGTTGACATGATACTTCTCGTTGAAAGTGAAATCGTATAAGTCTGAGAATGTGTTGACAGACTGAGATTATTGATTTTTGTAATGCTCTTAATAGTTTGTAATTTTGATAGTGAAATCTTGAGATTTCAGACGGGGATTGTTCTGTCTATTTTTTAATATTTTCATGTCTTTAGAATTTACGTTGTACTATTACGTCAGTTAGACTGAGTGCAATATGAATTTTTATTGAATGTGCTTAAGTACGAGTTAATTTTCAGTGTTTGTGCCGCCATACTGTCACGGCGAGTTTTTACTCCCGGTTGATTGTTCGTAATCCACGGTGTAAGTAGTTTAAAGTTTTTACACATTGTTTATTCTTCAGATTATGTTATCGCTTACCTATATCTCTAATGCCAGCTATGCTAATTATTGCAGTTCTGCATAATTTTAGATAATGTTTGTGCCATGTGCTTAAAGTATGGCGTGCTATTCATGTCATCATTTATAGTCGATAGTAATTAAGTCTGTATTTCTCTTAAAAATATATTTTATGAATGGAATTTGATACAGTTGATAAGAGTATAGTTAGTTTATGATTTACTAGAGATATTACTTGTCTGTGTAATTTGTTCACATTATGTGAATCCAGTTTTGAGAAATTTTTCTATGGAAATCAGTACCTGTCATTACTTACTTTGGTTTTGTTTTATTGTAGCTTTTTACCAGACGCACGTTCACATGCGCACTTGCACATGCAAGTGAGGGTTAACTATCTGTCAAATAAAACTTTCTAAAGAAACTGAGAGACTTTTTATTGTGGCAGAATAGTAATCGTAGGGCTAACATTAGACCAACAAAGTACATGGCATGTTAATGCCATTATGGGCCAATATTATAAACTTAATATATATAATCGCAATGCCAGAATTGGGCCAACATAGTATATGGCTTTGTAAGTGAAGGGCCAACTTTGGGCGAACGGTAAACGGCTAGGTAAGTGCAGGGCCAACACTGGGCCAACACAGTGGAAATAAACCAATGCATGACTAACATTTGACTTACAAAGAATAAAGAAATGTCATTTGAGGACTATTAGAGTATAATACATTCATGTCATCCACATGTTCCACACTATTCTAGTTAGTCAACTCATTTTAGGTGTATTTCTAATCGACATTCAAAATAATCTTTCTTGAATTATTTGATTTTTTCAGGGCAAACTGGACATCCAAGGAATATTCCAATAAGAAAATATAAAATAACATCCACTTATTGGCTGCTGATATTAATCTTTGATCTTTTGGAAATTTTAAATCTATTATAATAAATTAAGTGTCGAGCAATGCTTCATATTAAGAAGTTTTCATTTCTTTTCTTTCGTTCACTCAGAATCATTTGCATTTTCTCTGTTTTTACTTCAAGTCAATATTTCCTCCTTTCCCTTTCCAGTTGATGCGAATGGCAAGGTCATTGGTAAAAAGGTAGGACAAGTCTTCTGACAGTGGACTTTACATTTTCCCCACCGATCGTGCATAAATTCTTTATCTACAAGTATATGCTACAGACATTCATTAAGTATACAAGTTCAATGTTTTTAAACAAAATTTGCATTTTAAACATTTTATTACCCGTATGTTGAACCAAATTTTCTTTTGTGTTTGAATTTAAACAATAGTATAATGGTTTACAAGCAGGGGGAAACTTACGAGTTGATTTGTAACTTCAACGTCTTCCAACTTCTCCTCAAATTTGTCCACATCATCCTTTATTTTTAGGGGGAAATGTTAAATTGGTTGGGCTCTCCATCATCAACTGACTGGATCCCATCAGACCTTTTCAGAAGCGCTTGTAAGAGTCAAGTGTTCTGGTGTACGTGTGCTTTGATGAGCCCAAGGCAAGTCAATATTTTAACATCCATAGCTGCATATTGAGATCATAGCAGTAAGAATATAGAAATGAAGATGGGGATTAAAAAGGAACATAAAACTATTCTTTAAAGTTTCCTCAAAAGCATGTAACTGATGGATGAGAGGGCTTTAATTTTTCAAACAGTGAGGTTGATGTTGATGCTCTTTCACTATTTTTAGACTGTGGCTGATTTGAGTTGGTGGCAAAATGTTTGTTTCCTCATCCTCAGAGACAGGCCATTCTGGCAAAGGAGGGAGTGGTGGTGTGATCCTTTGCTTTTTGCTTTCCTAAGGGACATTCTTACTGCAACCTTTGGCCTTTTCTTACTTACTGGTTCATCGGAACAATCACAACAAAATATGGTTTAACAACATTGTAATGCCACTTTGGCTTTGACGAATACATGTGTGTTGTATCCCGAAGACAATATATTGAGGATTTTAAATTTCTAAGATAGGTAAAAACATCTTCTTTTTTTTACTATCGTTTAACCCCCTACAGTTTACAGAAGTTATGCTAAATTGTGACATTTACTATTAAGGTAAGATTATAAGTATCTACATTTATTACATTGTCAACAGTGAAATACCGTGATTTATTTATTGAATAAAAGTGATATTCTCTCACAGTGTGAAAGGATACCAAAAATGATATTCTCTCACAGTGTGAAAGGATATCAAAGTAAGTAAAAAATAATTTCTGGCCTGTCATAAGATAGAGACAGTAACTAAGCATCTTGATAGAGCTAAAACTGCAAATTTCTTCCCAAATATGTTGCTAAAATCCATGCTATGTAATGTTTTCAATCAAACAACTGCTAAGCTATGACGTCTCAACTGCTCAACTATGACGTCAAGTCTATGACACTGTGTTAAGAAAAGACAGAGGCAAAGGGAAAATCAAAGAAAATGTTATAAACAGAAAATTCAATGTTTTGTAGATGAATAGGGAATTTATTTCACTCGTGAGACACGATTTTTTTAAATATATTTTCACTCGTGCTTCGCACTCGTGAAAATATCAAAAAATCCTGCCCCACTCGTGAAATAAATTCCCTATTCATCTACAAAACATTGAATATCCTCTATATATTGTATATACACACCTCATACACAACACTCGTGCTTAAAACACAAATCCTTCCTGTACTCAAAAAAGGAAAAAAAATAAGACAGGTATGTGAGGCTACATATTTAGCCATCCAAGACCCATTGGAATTTACTTATTGGTCTAGACCGACTTGAAAAAAAATATGTCTCAAATAGGGTACCTGTAGGATTCAATACAACAATTCGATGCCTTAGTACATGTACCAATAAGTATGTTAACATCAGTTATATTGGAAGGAAAAAACAATACCACGGTAAAATACTACATTTACTGATAACTCTGTTAACTTCCATAAAAGGAATGAAAAAAGAAAAAAACAGCGATCAAGCACATCGTCACAATTAAGGCTTATAGAGGCTCCATTCCTCTTCTCCCTTTACTCGAAATTGCAGAATAATGTCATCTTTCGTTTCTATAATGCGGGTTTTCTGATTATCTTGTCTCCTCATCCTGTATGCTCTTTGCGCTAATTCACTACGCTTTTTCTTCAAACGATTTGCGAGATCAGTTCGTATTGCCATGACTTTTGGAAGTGTTGCCGTTTATGTATTTAATATTTTTAAAAGTTATTCAATCTTTTTTCTTTATATAAGTGTAAAATTTTGTATTACTATATGATATACGTGTATTATTACAAGTCTTCATTAGTTCATTCTACGTATACGTGAAACTGCATCTTTTTCTTCTACGCATTTCCAAGTGACCTGAATGTATTTTACACAAGTTGAGCGAACGTTGGGCCGTTGTCGTGATTTCACAATGAACACATGTGCGCTAATGTTAGGTGTATTTTCGTGGTTTTTTTTCTTTTCTCAAGGAAGGGCGATTGAGGGAGTTAAACACCAAATCAAAACAAATTTCGTGTCTAAATTTTATTTTCAAGCAACTCATATTTAAGGGACCCATGATTCACGGGGATGGGGGTTGTTGCCAACTGCAGTTTTAGGTTAAATGTAAATTCAGTAACCCCTTCCCGGCTGGATCCGCCTATCGGCTAGTCGAACACTCAGTATATTTTGCATATTTTATTTCGTATTTACGTTGGACCAACGTTGGTGAATGTATTATTCCAACGTCAGTATAGAAACTATAGTCACGCGCACATTACAAAGGAGGGGTAATGTAAGGCAAACGTTGTATAACTAATTTTTAAAGCACGAACATTTAGATGAATTACATACGTGGTGAACCCAACATACAGAAAACTTCACTATAGCCTACTCTGCATATAGAGGGGTCGACGTTGGGCAATTGTTGTATACTCAACGCTTTTGGTCACTATGGATAAGAGTACATTTAAAGCGTTGGACTAACGTTGGTTCAATGCAGAAACTATAGTCACGCGCACATTACATAGGAGGGGTAATGTAAGGCAAACGTTGTATAACTAATATTTTTAAAGCTCGAACATTTAAATAAATTACATACGTTGGTCCAACATTGGTCCAGTGTGGTGAACCCAACATACAGAAAACTTAATTATAGCCTTCTCTGCATATAGAGGGGTCGATGTTGGGCAATTGTTGTATACTCAACGCTTTTGGTCACTATGGATAAGGGTACATTTAAAGCGTTGGACCAACGTTGTTTCAATGCAGCTATTCCCAACGTTAAAAATACAGGAAAGCTCACATT